GCAAAAATTAATTTGTCCCGAAACTAGAAATACAAAGGGATCTTAAACAGTCATCAATAGATGCCATGGAAAGGAATTTGTATATAACATGAACCTTTTTTTCTACAGTTGTCTGTGATCACTATTGTGCATCCACAACCTGATTCCTGAATTGTGAATGTCTCATATTGGAGACAACTTTTTTTGTCCAGAAAAATAAAGACATAATGATAAAAATTTAATAAAATGTAAAGATTTTAGAAAAGTAAACCCCCCCATTTCATATATATATATACTGCCTTTCTATTTAAGCAATAGTTTCCATTGCTACAGGGATTGTATGTGATCATGAATGGGAGGAGATGACTAGTCATATAGGCTGACTACTAAAATGTAATGAAAATTTTGAAATTCCAGTCTGAATCAAATGATTAGAAAGATACTAGACAGTGTTTATCATAGTGTTTAAATTAACTTCTCCTGTTTCCCCAGTTTATAATAATCCCAAGCATAGCTACATTGGTAACTGGCATTATTTATGCCAACTGATTAACTAAGGCCCCCTCTACACATTACATGTATGATGCAATTACCAGGTTAATTGTTAACTTAGATCAACTACATATGCAAATTAACTATCACACCATAAAAGGGTCCAACCAGCTAAAGCATACTTTAAGAACAACGCCAAAAATCATGAGAGTTGGCAACACTGCACCACCAAATTGGAGCCAAGGTGTGACAGGGCACCTCGGTGCTCTGCTCCTAGAGAGGAGGAACTGCCAGGGAGAGCGAGCCCTGGCAGGACACTTAACGAGCACAGCTGTGGGTTGCTGGAGCAACTAAGGAGAGTCAGCTGGCCAGAAGGGGGCAGGGCCTCGCCCTTATAAAACCCAGGGCGGAAGCCACACAGGCAGGAGCTAGGAGGTGAGCATTGTAGGAATTGCTCTAGCTGAGTGAAGGTGGGCAGCTTGAAGAGGTTTGAGCACCATGGTTTAGTCAGGTGATGTTGAGTGAAGTTGTGGCCAAGAGACTTGTGTTTGGCTGTGGTTGTTTATTACACTGGTGGTTTGGGTGAGGCTATAGGGGTTGGAGGAGGCCTCATAGGAGGCTCATGATAAAGTGGGGACCCTGGTGCCAGTGAGGGTGCACTGGGCCCTGAGAGTTGCAGGGCAGAGTTGTGGGGTCAGTGAAGCTCTGAGAGGAGTGGCTGAACCCCAAGGGACCCACAGGGGTGTGGGGCCCTAGTGCCAGCGAGGGTGCAGCATACTCAGAGGGAACCCCAGTGGTGTGGGAACCCTAGTGCTAGTGAGGGCGCAGTATCCTTGAAGGGGCCTCATGGCGGAGTGTGAGGACCCTGGTGCCCAAGGGGGGGTGCAGCAAGCCCCAGAGGGGGGCTGTATTATTAGGAGCCCAAGAGTGGGTGTAGCAAGCCCCAGAGAGGGGGCAGTATTGTTGAGGAGTCCTAGCGTGGGCACAGCAAGTCCCAGAGAAGGGGGACTATTGAGAAGCCCAGGATGGGTGTAGCAAGCCTGGGTAGTAGGATAGTGCTGCAATAGACCTCAGACAGGGGCAGGGTGCTGCGGTGGACCCCGACGAAAGGGGTTAGCAGTACAGAGCCCAGGAGAAGGGTAAAGTGCGGCGGTGGTCCCTGGCAAAAGGGGATAGCAGCATGGTGCGCCCGGAGGAGGGAGGTTAGCAGTGCGGTGGGTCTAAGAGATCGGAGGGCTTGGTAAGAAGTCCCAGAGTGGACAAGGGTCCCGGAAAGGGACGACACTTTAGAGAAGGCCTTAAGTCGGCCTCGAGAGCCCCAAGAGAGGGGCAGTATACTAGAGAGAGCCCGGAGCGGGCACAGAGAGGGAGAGCCCAGGAGGGGGCGCTTCCATAGAGCGTACGGAGTAGGCCCGAGGGAGCGGGCGAGTTGATTTGCGACAGGACAACGTCCAGAACATCTGCGAGGCTTCGGGCGTAGTATTAGGGGTTGGTAGGAGCCACACGTGGCCCTAAGGCTAGGGTGCTCGGGGAGCACCCATTATACAGGGACCCCCGGACAGTCCGGGGAACCACGGGGACGGAGGTCCCGATTAGCCGTGCCCAAGGAGGTGTAAGGCAGCCTCCCGAACTTACTGAACATCAAAGATGTGGCGGGCGAGAATAAGAGGGTGCCCTTGGGCCGGACTTGACACGGTGAGAGGGACCTCAAGGAGATCACGGCCCTCCTGTGGGACTCTGCTGTGACACAAGGTTATGCACCAATCAGTGGCAAGGGGTGAGGCCACAGGAAGGGCAGCCTTCTCAGCCAATCAGTGGCAAGGGATGGGGCTGCTGGGGGCCCTTGGCCAATCAGTTGGGTGGGGTCTTGCCACAATAAGCTTGCCAAATTGCCCATCTACCACCCCCATTTAGGTAGGTCCTTAGCTATGAGATCATGATCTGGAGTTTGTCCTGCTTCACAAAGCAGCAAGAATGTGAAGTTCCAATTGTGGACTCCTTTGTATCAGAGTTAGTGCAAAAGGCGAGAACAGTTCCATTTTTCTTTCAATTTTCAGGTCGTTTGTGATGTCAATGGAAAAATATTTTTGCCTTGAAAACCAAACACACTTTTATATGGAAGCTATAGCAAGCAGAAGTATAGAGAAGCTATAGAGTGCTCCACCCCCTGCTGGCCTGGATTGGTCCCACCACCTTTTTGAATAAGAGTGTGATTGCACCTTGCAGATAACATCTGCTAACTTTGGGGAATAGTAATTGGTGTTAAAGTTAGCATGTGTGACAAGCACATTGAGGGTTAATACCCCCTGTAACATGGACTCTGTCTAGCCTCAGACTCCCCCTGTGGAGTGTGTGCCATGTGCCCATGCACCCAAGGGTTAATACCCCCTGTAACATGGACTGCCCTGCCCTGTTCTTACAGGGCTGGTGAGCAGGGAGGTGCCTAGTAGCCAAGTTGGTTCAGTGCTTACCCAACTCCCTTACTGTCTGGGGTAGTGTAGACCACCCAGATCAGGAGCCCACCAGCCCACAGGGCTTGCATAAGGCCTGCCAGTATCACCTGCCCGGACTGGATCCCCACTACCCTCTGGTCAACCTGTATCGGGTCTACTGCCCCCCTTGCAGCCCACATGAGGCCTACTGGTACTCTGCCAGTTCAGAGTGGGCCCACCACCCCCTGCCAGCATGGACCAAGCCTGCCACTGTCTGGGATCATGTCAGCTGCGCTCCCTGCTGGCCTGGATTGGTCCCACCACCAGCCCAGATCAGATCTACTGTCCCCCTACCAGCCTGGATTGGACCAGCTGTCCCTCCTGC